CCGTATCACAGGTCCACTAGGTCTTGACATGTACATGTATATACGTGATGCACATATACACACACATATGGTTCTCCTGTGCATGTAGGGACGAGGACCTTGGAGATCTACATAGTAGGAGGTTTTAGGGTGAGGTTTTCTCTAAGTTCAAGGATACAGTCTCGGACAGGTTTTTGTGAATGCGGGCCAGCGACTTGGAGTTTACGGGTTTCAGGTTCTGCAAGCTAAGATATCGGGGTACAAGTATGTAGATATATATATATATATACCAATATCTCTGTACCCATGTATCTTTATATCCAGTATATACATACACCTATATATATATATATATATATATCTATCTATATACCTGTAGTATCTATATACATATATATATATAGAGAGAGATCTACATATCTATCCATTGGGTATTGCCCCCACACAGTAACAGCTGGATAATACTTATAGAATAGATGTATTAGGCCCTTATAGTAGTCTCCCTATTATATATATAGACTGTTACTGTATCGGGGCAGTACCCAATCACGCACACACATATGTATCTATATCTGTGTCTATATTTCCCTCTCGAGCTTTCTCTCTCTCTCTCTCTCTCTCTCTCTCTCTCTCTCTCTCTCTCTCTCTCTCTGTCTCTCTCTCTCTGTCTCTCTCTCTCTCTCTCTCTCTCTCTCTCTCTCGATATATATATATATATATACACTACAATTATATATAAGTAGATGGACTACAATCTCGAGGTGTGCACCAGTCTCGAGGATATGCCAGGTTCGAGGTATATATTACCTGGATTAAAGGTTCTAGTTCACGGGACCTATATATGGGAGGATCTAGATATAGAGGGTTCCAAATCATGTAGGCCGGGCCACGAGAATCGGCGAGGATCCAAATTGCACTCCAGACCCGCTCTGCATCCTCGGTCGGTATCCGACGATCATCGTCGTGCAAAATGATCGAACCACTTAATTTGCAAGCCCTATCGTACTGTACATCCCAATAATCGACCCAATGAGTCCCCCGATGAGTCCATCCTAGATCATCGTGGATCATAGAGAGCCACAGATCTTAATGAGTCGAAGTGGATCCCCGATGAGTCCTATAATGAGTCACGGGCTATATAGCTCATGTAGATCGTCGATCGTAGAGAGCCACAGATCTTGATGAGCCGAAGTGGATCCCCGATGAGTCCCCCAATGAGTCCCCTAGGAGCCCTCGGTTGCTATTGTGGAACCTACCGGTGTTGCGGTTCTGTCATTCTCAAGACTAGAACCTCGCATGTGCAGGGCTTTTGCTGCCATATGATCGCAGTACACCTGTCAATCTAGATACGCATGAGAGTCTAGATCCTTCCTGCTTGTTGCTATAGTGTCATTCTAGAAACTAGAAACTAGCATCACGCAGCTTAACCCATGCTAGCACCTCTCAATCTAGATACGCATGAGAGTCTAGATCCTTCCTCTTTGTTGCTTCGTATCATTCTAGAAACTAGAAACTAGCATCAGTACAGCTTAACTCTCAATCTAGATACGCATGAGAGTCTAGATCCTTCCTCTTTGTTGCTTCGTGTCATTCTAGAAACTAGAATCTATGTCTCGAGCCTTCCATGTTTGTTGCATTGTGTCAATTTAGAAACTTGCACCGTCGAACCTAATTTAGATACGCATGAGGATCTGGATCCTTAATTCCTGCATATGTGTCAATCTAGAAACTAGAAACTCACTCTCGCGATCGAGGTATGTTCTACAGCAGTAGAACCCAGGGATTTAGATACGCGAGAGGATCTAGATCCTGCCCTGTGTTGCTTATCCTAGTATATCATCTACCACTAGGATTTTAGGGTACTGGGATAAATTAATACTATATATATATAATATGAATTTATCCCAGTACCCTAAAATCCTAGTGGTAGATCGATCTAGATCCAAATCGTGCTGCTCGATCACATGCATCTCTCGAGACGACAGCTATAGCACCCAGCTGGTGCTGCTGTTATTGCTGTAGGATCGAGACTACAAATGTCTCTGCAGGATACCGTGGAGACGCAGGGCTCCGATTGGAGCCAAGGTGCTGCCGATGGAGCTGCCGAAGCCATGATCCTCGCACATGCTGCAACAAAGGATTTGAGTGCTTTTGCTGCCACCCAAGTGGACCCTACGACACCGCCTCGATCGAACCCCAAGAGCCCTTCGGAAGCGAGTGCAGTGGATAAGACCGTGGCGAACTCAGCAGCTCTTGAAGCCCTTAATGCTGGATCCACGAAATCGGAGAAGGAATCCCTCGACGGCACGAAGTCACAGGAGGAAGCCCTGAACGACCCATCCACGAAGTCGCAAGAGGAAGCCCTGAACGGCCCATCCACGAAGTCGCAAGAAGCCCAATCGTCTAATGCATCCGCGACGCCAGCTGGCCCCCAGCTGACTGAAGAGGCGATGCTATCCGCCAGAAAGGCTTACGCCACCCACTTTGGGCTGCTGCTGGAGAATGTCACACCTGAGATGGTGCATGCGGATTCCAATGGTGCTGTGCATTGGGCTACGAAGGACCTCAATCTTTCTGCAAGAGGGCCAACTGCTCAGGACATGGGCCGTGCTATCAAGCACCATCCTGACATTAAGGAGATGTACCAGACCTTGCTGGACTCGGAGAAAGTCAGATTCAGACAGGCCTGGGCAGCCAGTCGCGACTGGCAGTTCATCCAGTCTGAACGAAGCACGGTGTCTTCGTATCGCAAACGCAAGGAGGAACTGGGCACCTTTAAAACCCAGCTTCAACTGGAGATGATATTGGGTGGAAGCGACAAAGAGGAGGCCAGGATGCAGGCCAAGAGCTATATCAGCATGTGCCTCCGATCGGACCTGAAGGCTGGATAATAGTAGCTCCCCAACCCCTTCCAAAGACTCATTCTCTAGAATGGCAAAACCCTATCTATAACCCTAAACCCAAATCTTAAATCCTTCGGATCTTAAACCCTTCCGAGACCTTGGAACCCTAACCTTCAACCCTCAACCCTGAACCCGAATGGCAAAACCCTATCTATAACCCTAAACCCAAATCTTAAATCCTTCGGATCTTAAACCCTTCCGAGACCTTGGAACCCTAACCTTCAACCCTCAACCCTGAACCCGAAACCCTGAACCCTAAGCCTCCCTTGCACCCTGAGGAGTACTGCTACAGCTGGAACTCCTGGCTCAAGGCCGACACCTACCTCTGGGTGGAGTCTTTGGTTGCTACCTCAAGCCAGACTGAATGGATCAACCGGGTCACCATCCAAGCGACCGACAATGTGGCTTCGTCCTGGAGCGAGACACTGGACTACTGCAAGGCGGTTCGGGCCTTCTCGTGCGAGAAGGATGTAGCGATTAAGGACATTACGAAGGACATGCTGGAGCAACACGAGCTGGGGCTCAAAGGGCCAAGCTCTACGAGACCCTGCCGAATGCCAAGCCCCAGCCGGGCCGTGGAGACGGCACTTGCAATGCCAAGCAGCCGCATCCAGCTGCTGCCCCCGCTCCATCCGCAGCACCAATGCCTCCGGCTTCGAAAGCAAAGGCAAAGGCGAAGGCCAAAGGCAAGGCTAAGTCTGCTGCAGGTGAAGGTGGTGATGATCCTATGGGCTCGGCGCCAAATGGCGGTCTGCCGCCAGATGATGCTGACGAGGAGAAGAACACCGCTAAGAAAGCGAAGAAATCTGCTTCATCAAAGGCGAGTGGGACAGCCAAGAAGGAGCGGGAACTCAAGGAGTATTTGGCTATGGAGGCCCAATCCGATAACTCTATGACTGCAGTGACTGCCGACATGTCCAAAGACCCGGCTGCTTGGAGCTGGGCAAAGGATTTTGTGCATACGTACAAACTCCTGAGGACAGAGATTGTGCAGTTGTATGCAGACAACGAGTTTTTCAAAGAGGCCAAGGTGGCGGCTTTGTCAACAAAAGAAACCAGCCGCCTCCGCAAAACCTATGGCATCGACTACCACTCGAAGCTTTGTGAATGGTGCTGTCAACTCGGCCCTAAGATCCAGGGCATGTATGAGTGCACGACGAAGATTCGACAGATGGCAGATGCTCACGCCAATGCTATGTGCCCGCCTTCGGTGAAAGCTCCTCGGAAGCCCAAACGCTCGGCATCCCAGGCATCGCTGTAGATCCTCAGCTTGGGTGTTGCCGTGAGCCAGCATGGTTACCCTTTCCAGGAGTCCTTTGCTATGGCTATAGTGCCGTCTATATAATAGATATACCCTCAGCCTCAACCCTAAACCTCTATAAACCCTTAACCAGGATCCCGAGATCGAACCATGCTGGTTGCACGGCATCTAGGGGTATGCTCGGCCTTGTATCGGGGCGGCTGAGTTAGGCAACCAGCAGCCGACACACGCTGCTGGCCGGACACGATGGGTCGGATGAAAACGCTACTTGTGTTAGGTGAGCCAAAGCTTAGACGATTCCCAAGCCCACAGTTCGGTGAGCCAAAGCTTAGACGAGTCCCAAGCCCATAAATTTATCCCGAAACCCTGAACTTAAAACCTTTCATCCTCAGCCCTGACCAACCTAGACGTGTAGGCCTGAGCCCTAAACGACCTAAAACCCCAAAGCCCGAACTCTAAGTCTGGACTTCAAATTATCTACAACCCAGACCCGAACACTAAGCCTCAGCCTTGAATCAACAACGTGAGGGTCGAAGCGCCGAACTTGAAGCCTGGAGCTTAGAATAACCTAAAGCCCGAACTGCAAGCCTCAAGCTAAGTAACCCAAAACCCCAAGCCCGAATTCTGCTGAAGACCCAAACCTCAATTGCTGTGCGACCACCACGCAGTGCAGCCGATGCATCGATCTTGATGGCAGTTGCAGCCTCGCTTGCATATGTGGTGTGAATTCCAAAGCCCTGGGTCCGAAGCGAAAAGTTTCAGGCCGCCCAAACTTCAAACCCCGCTATAGGAAACGCTCGACCTGAGCCCCGCAAGCCCCACAATAACCTGAAGTCTTGAATCCCTCGCAGCCGCCCATGAGTTTCAAAAGAGCTCGCACACTGGAGCTTGCTGGCGGTGCATTCACGGTTGACCCGGAAGCTCATGCAGAAGATACTGAATCGCTGGCCGTGAATGGACAGAAGTTTCGAAAATTCTTGCGTGAACGCTACTCGTCCGGATCTATGACCGCTGCTGACACGTGCACCCTCGCATACCTTCACACCGAATCTGGCGGCCGGGGAGCTGAAGATCTGGGACTGGACCCGGAGATCGCGACCAAGCATGGAGCAGGGCATCTTCGGTTCCCCATCTCAGATTGGCAGTGGTTTTGGTTTGTTCTTATGCTATAATAATTATAGTTGAGGGCCTACGCTGGGATATTTCGGGCTTGGGGTCGAAGGGGGTTGGGGGGAGAAATAACAAACGCCTAGAAGTAAGGTACCACCTGGGCAAGCACTACGAGAAACCCTATGTGGAGTATGTTGCCGTCCCTATGGTTTGCAAGAAGTCAATTGGGAGAGTTTCAGTGCAGCATCCTACAAGGGTTGCTTCGGATATGCTTCGCAGAAAGCTTTTAAGCTTGCGGCTTTTAGGTGAAGGTGCTAATGCTGATACAAAGTTTGTGACAGCACACCTGGATGCCGACAGGGAATACTTGGGTCTGTACGAGGGCCATCCTGTTGCTCAGAAGGCTTTCGCTGAAGGTTTCCGCCGGGAGCACGTCGTGCCCGTGTCTGTTTATTTTGATGGGGTGCAATACTCGAAGAACGAAAATTTCCTCGGCTTTTACATGACCAATCTTCGCACTCGCAAGCAACAACTCGTGTGGCTGCTCAGTCCCTTTGCTGATCTGAATGTAGCCGCTTATAAGAATCGGTTTCCCTTTAAAACCTCAATAACCCAAAAGCCTAACGGGCCTAACCCCTCCAAAAGCCAGGACTGTCGGAGCTTTGCTCATGTGGCTGCAGGGGCTGGTGCTCGGTTTTTCCGCTGCTAGAAAGCTTTCGGCGAGATATGTGCTTCGACCACAAGGACCTTCGTGTTTGCATCCTGGACTACAAAGCTGACTGGCCAGCATACATCGAGATCTGCGGTTTTCGCACATGGTCGCACAACTTGCACCCATGTCCAATTTGCACCGTGCAGAAGAAGGACCTTTTGGCTGTCGGGACAATGACATTGCACACTTGCCCGCACAAGCTCTTCGACGAGACGTCCTACAAGGAGCTCGTCGCTGCGAGCTTTCGGGCCACCCGCCGGTCATTTGTTGTTTGAGAGTGAGACGAACCCATAAGCCGGGAAACCAAATAGCCTTTGCTGACAGTAATCCCAGATCCTAGGAGATAGTTGTGCCGGACGAGGAGACAAAAATGAAGATCGAAAGCTTGCTCGTCTACCGCCGCAAGACCGGCCGTGGCAGATGCTTGAAGGCCTCTTTCCCGCTCCTCAGGCTGAGGCAGGGCTGGCGGCTCGAGCCGAGCCCAAGCTTGCCAGATGTCGGCAACTTCGCGAAGCAATCCTGCCCCTTCTCATGTGTTTTTTACATTGGCGGAAAGCATGGGCGAGTTCTTCACCAATCGCCGTTCTTGCAGATCCCAGGGGTTTCGGTGGACACGTGGTGTGTGGACATCCTGCACACCTGGCATTACGGACCAATGTCCACCTTCATCGCATATGGCCTGCGGCTTCTCCTCACGACGATGATCTACAGACCTGCGATTCCGGATTTGGAGAAGGAGGAGGCCGACAGGCTTGCTCTGCTTTGTCTTCGTGCCGAGTTGTAGTTGTGGTCGTACTACAAACGTCTCCGCCAGTTTGACGATGACGGCAGCTGGAAAACGAAGGGTTCCGAGGTTCGGCACATCATGAGTTTGTGTATATAAGACATCAACCCCGCCGGAATTTCTTATCGATCATCCCGTCAGGTCTGGAACTTGACACTGACAATGGTGGCCGGCAAATATGTGAAGGCAAAAGCTGCCGAAACTCATGGGCTTCTGGGCTTTTTGGTTGACAGGCTTGAGATGCACAAATGTGTTCTCGCAGCGACGGAGCAGGCCGACACCTTCGCTTTGCTCTTGCCAGCCGGCCAGGCGGCACTGCACTTCGATGCAGTGATGGCTTCTCATCCGAGGGCGATCGACGAGACCTTTTCCAGACGTACGATGAATTCATCTGCCTTTGCGAAAAAGCTGAAATGCATCTCATGCCCAAGAGCCATATGATGTATCACATGCTTCAACGGGCGGTCCGGAAAGGGAATCCAAGGATGTACTCCACATACATCGATGAATCCTTGAATGGCCACATCGCTCGTATCTGCAGGTCCGTGCATCGTCGTACTTGGGCTCCGTGTACGAAAAGCTTGAGATGATGGATGCCATTAAGGCGGATGACGACCTGTGAACTCTTTTTTCTCGTTGCAGCCTCGCATAAGCCCATTCAGACCCTGGCTTTTGGTTTGAAATCGCCGCAGCACCCTGGCAGCTTCAGCTTGATTTGCCTAAACCTAAACTCTTAAACCCACTGCCCCTACAATCCTAGGCCCTCGCTCTAATCCCGAACCCTCTCGAGGAAGCTGGCCGAAACCGTTCCCTCGCCCGAGCCAGTTTAGTGAAGTATATGCAACCCAGCAGCTTTCTTGATAGGATCTTTGTTTTCCTGATTCGATCTTTGAAAAAACGCTTAATTTTCTGAAGCTTTTGGTATTAGGCGGCTTCGTCTCATTTAGAGTTTGCAGGGTTTTGGATTTAGGTTTAGGTTTAGGGTTTAGAGGTCGGTGTAATTGTGGTTTTCTGGTGCAACCGAGCCCTGATCCAGAAGTGCTTGGCTTTCCTTGGCTGGCCGTGCGATTGTACCAGTGCATGCGTGACGAGTGCAGGTGCTGTCGTGAGTGCAGGAAGCAGCAAACCCACAGCCCAGAGCCCTCAGCCGCAAACTCCAGAAAACCTTCCAGCCCAACCGTTGCTTCGCACTGCCACAGTCCAAAGCGCCGAAGTCGCAGCCATGGGTCCGAACGTCAAAGGATGGAAAGAGATCAGAAGGGTTTGGGCTCAGGTTTTTTGGGGCACTTTGGTTTCGGCTTCGGGTGTTTCCGAAACTTTGGACACAGCTCAAAGCCCCTGGCCTTGAACCGCCTCAAGCCCTCCAAACGCCCAAACTCCGCTAAATGCGACATAGTTTCAACTTCACGTCGTCAGAACCCTTCAAACGGACAGTGACACAAACTTTAAGCTCAACAGGCGAAGTGTCGGCACTTTCGTCTTGAGACTTCGGATTTCAGATTCTCGGCGGTATTTCCAGCTGTCGACATTTTTCTCGACTCTTATTGTTGGAATTCCACCAGAATGCCGGAATATGCCCCAAATCCGAAGCGAACGGAGCACCTGAAAACTAGAACCCAAATCTGCCCAGACCCTAGCAAACAGGAAATAAATTCTTGCACTATACGCGACAAAACTCTTTATAAAGAAGAAAGAGAAGAGAAAGGACATTTTGGCTCAAACATCAAGAGCATCAGAGTTTATGTTCAATTATTGTTGTGTTAAACAAGCAAAATATGCAACAATGACAATAGTCGTTCGCTTTTGCCACTTCGTTCCGCACAAAACCGGTCATGGTTACTTTTATCAGCAATGCTTGTTTTTGCTCAAGTTGTGGCTTTTGCCTTTTGTGCACAAAATAGTACAGGCAAGTTTCCACATGGAACACACCGAAAGCGTATCTAGAAATTGGATCGATTCGGAGTTTGGGTTTAGAAAACGACGCGACTACGACTGGCGACGAGGCGACACGATGACAGGACGCGGCGGCATCGCCAGCACCCTCAATGCCAAGACCTTTCAACACCAGCCAGAGCTCACAGGGTCCACTAGCTAGCTCCAAAGCACATTAGCTCAGTTGTGCATGCTCGCTCCGACCGGTTGAAGCAGCAAGGACGTTTGTACACGGCCATGGACAGAGAGCGTCCCCAGCCACAGACCGAAAAAACATGATCATATGCATTGGAAACCATGGCATCTGACTACAACGTCGAGGAGGGCCGTTCGCTGGAACCTGTCAGGCCCCTGTTAGGCCCAAAGCCCCTTCAAAGAAACAGCCTTGCAGCACCCCCCTCAGAAGGAGCACTCCTCACGACTGTTGGCCGTGGAACTGCCGCTACCCCTTCCCAAAAATGCTACAAACAGTTCGAGCCCAAAAGCTTCCTGGAGCGGTCTTTTTTTGACTTTGAAAACGCGAGTAAAAAATATAGCATCCACTGCTACTCTGACCACGCTCACGAGTTGTGGGCCGTTTGGGAAGGTCACCCAAGCGATAGAACCAGCTCGAAACATGGCAGATCACACTCGCTTGTGAATGCAGGAGTATCACGTTTTGTTCGCCCAGATTCGTGAAGACTTGCTGTGCAAGTTCGCGACACACTCCCTCAGAGTGCATCGCTCATCACCGGCTCAGGCTCCACCTGAGAAACCGGCAGGAATCGGCACGGCGATAATCCCTGATGAAGCCTCCAACTCAAAGGTATCACCAAGCCATGCACCAGCTTGCCAGCGGCTGACCCAGGGAACAGGGCTTCCCTTGCAGGTAAGGTGTACCAGAAGTTCGTTACATTCGCTTCATCGTTCGAAGAAAAACAACATGACAAAATGACTCAGAGAACTGAGTCCAATTTTGATTTGTTGTTTTAGGGCTTTTCTTTTACACTGCCCATTTTATTGAACTCATTTATACATGCTGTAAACCAGTTGAAGAATACATTCGTCCGATGCAGCTTGACCTCTCGAAGGGGCAGGAAGCCTTGAATCGGGCGAGAGTATTATTTGAAATAGGGGGGCGGGCCGGATGCTTGTGCCTCAGTCTCTCGCTGGGAGGTCTTGATGAAGTGAATCTTCTGCTTGAGTGTGTCTTGAGCTTTGAGCTTACAGTATCCTGCTCAACTTGCAGAGTGATCTCGCGGTTGCCTACTTAGCTGAAGCTTTGTTGCTTTTTCGGTGTGTGACCGAAGTACTGGCCTGTGTTTCAGGAGTATGCAATCACCTGAAGTGACCGGCGGAGAAGCAGAGGCGCCGACACCCTCGGATTCGTTGACATCCACTGAGAGCTTTGTGTTACACCACATGCGTGGGTTACAGATCCAGATCAGTCGGCTGCATAGCATGCAGCCCATGCTTGCTGACCGCCTTTTCGATCGCGTTTCGCGGTTGGAGTCTCAGCAGCTGCTCGATTCTTGCTTTCTTCGTTGGAAGTTTTGGGCTGGCCGAAATTCTGATCCGGAGCATGCTCCTCGCGGATTGCTGGAACCTCAGCTCCAGTAGTGAGACTTTGCATAGCATGTGTCTTGCTCAGAGGAAAAGAAAGGCGGGCGATAAACGCCTGAGTTGAGTGTATGTTTGGCTGCAGGAACTTGCTGATTATTTGTGCTGCCCTCGGATTGCGAGAGAGTACTTCAGATATGACACTCCAGTTTGGGCCCGAGCGCTTTTTCTTTGTGTGTCATGGAGGGTCGCAAGTGGTTTTGGCATGTGGACGCGCAGGGCCGTTGGGTGCAGATCTGGCATACGCTATGGCATAGCTTGGAGTTAGCAAGACGGGAAGATTCCCGACGAGACGATATCGGTCGAGATCTTGCACCAGGAGCAACCTCGGAGCCAACCTTCAGGAAACGCAAACGGGGAGAGTCTCCTGAGCCAGACGCCCGTAATTAATCACCAGCAGCTGCGACTTGCACTGAGGTGTTTTTGTTGCCCGATCAGAGCACAGCAGCATTGCCTAGCAATTGCTGCCTCGTTTTGGCCAAGACAAGTGCATGCTAGTATTTGTCTGCATGATACTAACTAGTGTTCTTGCAGACACATGGCTTCGGCCCGAACCGAAGAAAACAAGCCCGATGCTTCGCTGACAGGAGCGTTTGTTGCAGACTAAGACTGATGTGTGTTGTTGCAGCATGCAGGCAGGATGAGAATGCACAGGTCCTCTTTTTCGTCTGCTCTACGTTTGCAGCCGTTGTGTTTCAGGCAATTGCCAGCACCTCAGCGGGAATGTCGGATACTACCAACCCGGAAGAGGTTTTGGAGACTGAAGCGGAAATGTCTTCGTGGAGCTCAGCTTTCGACTTTTTAGCTGAGCCGGCTCAGACGAACCGACAAAACAAAAAGAAGAAAAAGAAGGATGGACGGGACCGGCGAGCCCGCAAGAAGCCCTCTAAGAAGGCCGGCAAGAAGCTCGTGAGGAGCTCGGATTCTGCAGAGATTGCTGAGTTTAATATACAGCAGCAGGCGAGCAGCTCTAATGAGCCTGCTACGAACATCGTGCCAATGGCTGAATCAGGCATGCAGACGGCCCCTGAGGAACTCCAGACTTCTGGAGAGTTCACATTCGTTGCGGTGTGGCGGCCAGGACCTCCCCCACCGCGAATTGGCAAGACACGTGCTGTTGCGAAGATGTTAGTTCGCGCGGGCCTACGTTGCCCTTGTCATTATGTTCGCGAGTGCCCTGACAGACTTCGTGAATCGCCGGGACCCCAGATCGTTATACCCACACCTCGGAATGTGGAGAGATTGCATCGTAGCCAACTTTGATTTTGGGAGTTTTTCTGTGTGCTCAGGCCGGATGCTGGTGAGAGCCAGCGATGAAGCGCCTCGGAGGCGGAAAACATGCGCAAGAGCGCTTTCGATGTGAGTGTGTACGCCAGAGGTTGCGTGCGTGCAGAGGCACCTTCGTACGTGACGTTTGTCTGCCAATCCCTTTTGGCCCAAAAAAAAAAAGATTCAGAGCAGCAAGCAAGGCAGGAGCCTGGTGCTGGGTGTTCGATAAGGCGCCGAAGCGCTTGACAGAGTCTCGGAGGGCTGGAGCCCGGTTTCAGCTACGTGCTGAGTGTGTGCCGCGGGGATGTTTCCCTGGCCAATGGGACCGATGGGGCCGATGATGCCCCCATTCGGTAGTGAGAGGCGTCGGCGCCGTCGGCGCTCCCCCTCGAGTAGCTCTGAGCGCTCGAGGAGCAGAAACCGTGATCGCAGACGCGACCGGGAATCAAGATCGGTGGGAGCGCGAGCTGCTGCGCCTTTTCCCCTGCCATTGCCTCAGCTGCCGGCAGCAGCGCCGGGATACGAATGGAGGCAAGTACCAGTGGTGCCCGGTGCAGCCACCTTTGCCGCCTCCCTCGACACCTGCCCCGATTGCCCCTGTTGTGCCTGTACCTCAGCAGCAGACTACTTGGAATCGCCAGCCCTGGCGCGGAGGAGGCCAGCAGAAGCAGGGCCAATGGAACAAGCGCTGGAACCAGTGGCATCGGTCCAGCCAGGGGTCGGGTGAGACTCGAGGGTCGAAGTGGCCGCGGCCGACGCCCGTCGGGCTGCCAAAGAGGCTGATCAGGACGAGGCGGACGACGAAACGTCGTACCTCGCATCTCTGTGGAAGTCGGCGGAGGATGAAGCACGCGCAGACCCCACTCGACCATTGTCAGCTCGGGAACTGGCAGAGCAAGGAAAACTGCAGTGGTGGTGGAAGATGCCTTGGAAGGCCGTCGTCGAAAAGTTCCCCGACACGGCTGCCTACAAGGAATTCTTGGAAGGACTTGAAGGTCCAATACCGGCCTCTGTGATCTCCCGAGTGGCCACGGTCCTTGCTGCCTTTCGGGCTTACGGCCGCCCCCCTCGAGGGGCAGAATCCTGTGGCGGGCGTCGTCGGACCCGATGCTCACATGTTTCGGGTGCCTGGGCAACGAATTTTGATCTTATCCTGCGAATTGCGCGGGCCAAGCTATATCCGCAATCCGAACTCGGAACACTCTGCTATCATGGCTCATGGTACCTCTTTCCCATCTTTAGTCGGCGTGGCGGAGATAGGGGAGATCGCGGTGAACGATTATCGCGATCAGGGAATTCCCTGCTTCGGCTTTTCGGCACGAGGTTCATTGGTCGCACTGTCGCGAGACGCACTGGAAAGTGCAGCGACAAAATGCGCGAGTCGGGCTAAAGCCCTGGGTGGTGCGATTATCCTCGTAGAGTGCGAGTTGCCACGGAGCACCCCCTCTGTGGAGGGGGGGAACGAAATGATGCAGATCTGTTGCCGGGACGCTGGCTCGGTCAGGTCGGGGGATCACTTCTTGATCTCCCCAAAACACGCGATTATGAGAGGAATCGCAGTAGGGTGGCCGTGTTGAGCGGCATTATCCCTGCAGATGTGAGCATTGTGTTATTGTAAGCTAATGCCAATGTTGTGCTGAGTCATCTATTGGCGCTCTATAGCTTGCTAGTTTGGTTTTGCTGGCATTGCTCACACCAGAGGTGGTGGATACTATCCTTATGAACCACGAGGGAGTGGCAGACCGTCGGGAATCGCGACATGAAAAGTTGTGCCATCTGTCCCGCCTCGGGGGGGTCAGACCTGAGTGGTGTCTGCTATGCTTCGTGTACGCTGCGAGGGGAGATTCCCAGCGGCGTAGTTTCCTCGTTGGCAACTTGTTGTTCACGTCCTGTCGGTTCAAGTTTTGACCGGTTTGGTGGGGCGTCGTTCCTGCCAGGGTTTCTTGCGATGTCTGGCCACGACCCTAGAGCGAGTGAGAATGAAGTGTTCATGCGAAGCATCACTCATGCTCGGTCGTCGCTGCCTCGGCAGCCTTGGGAACAGCCGGCTATGCTGTGCCTGCTGTGCATCTTCGATCCATTGAAGGCGGCTTTCCCTCAGGGCTTGAACTTGCCTTATCAGGGAGTGGTCCCGGCGTCGTCTGTTCCTCAGACGGCAGCGCAGCCTTCAGATTCCGGGAATCCGGTGACGAGTGGATCTCATTGTCAGGCATGGACTCGTGCAGTCAAGGCAAAAAGAGGGCCTAGGGCCGCGGATCGTCGTGACGAGGCGTACCGCCGGGTCCTCACATTACTTCATGCCTTTTCGAGTTTCTTTGACCTGTGTACTTTGATGGCGGATGACGAGGAGGACGGCCCGGATTCTGTTCAGGCAGTTTTGGCAGGGAAATCACCGAACACCATCTTGAAACATGTGGGTCCGGTTCGTACTTTTTGCGAGTGGCTTTTGAAAGCAAGTCAGACTCCGCCTTTTGCGGAGAAAGTCTTGTGGTCTTTCATTCATTGTGTCCTCAAGATGCCTACTGGACAGTAGTCTGCGTGCTATCAAGTGGAGTTATTATACCTTGGGACTACGCGTTCAACTAGAGGTCTTCAGCAGTCCTCGAATTCATGGTGTGGTGAAGAAGGCGCTACAGACTAAAAACCCGTGGTGCCCGGCGTCACCCCTCAAGGTGTCCGAAGTTCTCCAGTTGCACGCGATCTGTTGTGATCGCGATATTTCTGTCATTGATAGATGCGGGGCGGCACATTTCCTTGCTATGCTCTACGCGAGGGCGCGAGCATCGGACATCCGGTGTGTCAAAAGTATCTTGATAGACGTGCACAACGAGGACTGGAGTTCGGGCTTCATTGAACTAGGGACGCTTGAACACAAGACGTCTAGGCTGGACACTCAACGACGCCGCATACTGCCTCTGGTGATTCCCGGCCAGGGTATTGCTAAAACGCCTTTTGGTCAGCTCCTCCTGGACATTAGGGCTGAGGCTGGCTTGCCGGGCTTGCCGAACGATCAGGCTGATGTCCCATTCTTGCCTTCTTGCCGGCACCTCTGCCGGATGGCTCTTGGTCTTCAGACCCGTTGTCTAGCAGCGAGATCACCAGGTGGCTGAGGTATCTACTGCCACGTCCCTCGACGGAGCAGGCCGTCAGTTCGCACTCATTGAAGGTTACTTCACTTGTTTGGTGTAGCAAATTCGGGATGCTTCGCGAGACCAAGCGAGTTTTAGGCCATCACGCGGATGCAGCGACTGGCAGTGATGCAGTTTATGGGCGTGAGTTGCAGAGCGCGGCACTACGTGAGTACGTTGTCGTACTGGATGCAGTGGCGACGGGTAAGTTCCTGCCGGACCAGACTCGTTCGGGTCATTTCTCATCTGGTTGGACTCGGGAGTCCATCCTGCAGGCGGCTGCTTTTCCACAGGACTCGGAAGTCCTGCAGGCGGCGGTGGAAGATGACCAAGATGAGGCTTTGGCTGTGGTTTCTGATGTTTCAGACTCTGATGAAGAAGCCCCGGAGGAACAATCTTTCTGGGCTCATCCGACTAGCCAGGTCCTGCGTCGCACGACTTTGGGGTCGGCAATGTTTTTGTGTGGCCGAGCTTTTGGCGATCATTATCGACGCATTCCTATGGCTCGGGCGCAAGCGCACCCGCAATGTGCCAAGTGTTTCCCACGGAGCCCAGTTTGATTTCTTAGCCTGCTCGAAAAGCCAACAGCTGTCCTAGTATCGTGCTCGGTGTGAATTGTGAGAGCTGCGTCCTCGCTAGCCTTTTCGGTTGCCAGGTACTTAGCCATGACGAGTTCCGTAGATTCGGCGCCTTTCTTTGTGCACCGAGCGGATGAAATCTCGCTTGCCAAGCGAGTAGTGGATGCCTTGAAAGGTAAAGGGGTCACCACTTTGGCCCAGCTGGCCTTTTGTGTCGGACAACCGGGACAGGTGCTATCTCAGACTGAGTTTGACACGTGGAGCGAGGCCATGTTGGTAGGCATCACGGTGGGCGAGAAGGCGTCTCTGAGGCGCCTGATCTTGGAAGCTCAGACCATGCTAGTGGCTTCTTTGAAGGATCTGGCAGAACCTGCTGAACACGCTTCCCCTAAAAAGGTGGGGGTAGCCGAGCGGAATGCTCGCATGGATCAGCTTCGGACTCAGCTCGCCGGAGTTTCGCTCACTGGACAGCTTGAGCCGAGTCATGCATTACTTGACATGGCCGTTCAGCAGTGGGAGAGTCGCTGCCTGAAGTACATTGGTCCGGAGAAGTGTCATAGCCGCGAGGATGAGGTTCAGAACGTTAAGCCTTTGACCACCAGTCTTTCCTTGGAAGGCGGTAAGCTGAAGGTTACGGAGGCTGCTGGTATGGATGATCGTGACATTGAGGGCTCTTTGCAGGTCCTTAATGCCCTGCGCCGCAGAGGAGTGGCTTACGCATTTGCTCGCTTGATCAGTTGGGAAAGACATGAAGCTTATGTTTCTTCCTTGTTCAGGTATTTGACCAAGCCCGCTCAGCCTGGTTACAGGAAGGTGTCTCTTCGTCAGATCTTGCGGGCTGACAAGCTTGCCTTCTCCAAGTTGTCGGAGGCTGGTGAGGATATCCGGGCAGATGCTTCAGGCACTCTCCCGCTCGATGCCGCGATCGGGGCTATCCTGCACGATTACGACCTAATTGTAGCTCTCCTGCCTATGGGGGATTTGGATGGTAAGGGCAAGAATGCTAATGGCCGCGGTGGGCGCCCGGGTCCTTACAGCGATAATGCGCCCTGGAAGGGGAAGAATGGCAAAGGTAAAGGCGGTTGGAACACCAAGGGCTCTGATAGTTGGACAGGGAAAGGCAAAAACACATAGCAGGTTAAGGGCAAGTCGCCCAAGGGCAAAGGCTCTGGAGCCGGGAAACCGGAATGGTTGCCTGAGGGACTTCGTTTCCAGGGAGCATCTGCATGGAATAATAAAGGCAACAAGGTCTGTTACGGTTTCAACCTCGGGACATGTTCGGATGCGAACTGCCAGAAGGGCGATCACACTTGCTGCATCTTTAAGTGCGGTGGCGATCACCCGGTGGGGAAGTGCCCCTTGAAGCCCAAGAAGCTGTGACTAGCGGCTCCGCCGCCTTGCACCGCCGCCTTGGCGTCGGACGTGGAGATGACACCTTCGGAAGAACCCGTTTCCGGTGCCGTCTCTGTTCACCGCCTGTTGGAGTGGGAGTGGACCCTGCTTCAGAGATGGTAGATGTCGACGATTCTCCGATTTTTGTAGAACCTACAGTTTTGGATCCCCCTACGATGCCGAGCGCTTCTTCTGAGCCTTTTGCCTTGGAGCGCACAGAGAGCGAGGGGGCGCTCCCCTCACCTCCCGTGGCATCGGAGGACTTTTCTCCGGCACCGCCTACTCAGGAGCCGGCCAGAGCCGTTTTGCAGTGCTTTGCAGGTCAAGCTCGTGTGGCTTCGGCCTTGATTAAGCAGGGCTATTTTTCCTATGGAGTGGATCGATTCAAGCAGAAGGCGGCCATGGCCCCAGTGCTTCAGATGGACTTGTCGACGCGGGAGGCGTGTGACTCTGTCTTAACATGGCTTGACAACCGGAAGATCGCGGGTGTTATGATATGTATTCCTAAACACGCCTCGGAGCCTGTTACTACGGCTTTCGTCCTGGCAGTGATGGCAGGGTGCTTGAGCAACAACCTGCCCATGGTTCTTGAGGGTTCGGTGTCTTCTCCCTTTTGGGAGAGTTTCAATCGTTTACCATCAGCACAGCACCCTCCGCATAGGGTGGAGGTGGATTGGCAGCTTTGGGACTCACATAGCAAGCAGCGCAGCCTCGTGTGGTCCAATTTGCCCGAAATCCTCACTGTGCGCAGGGAGGCGGCACCTATGGGACGTAAGGTGCAGCAGCGATCGGAGGCGCAGACAGGTTATCCGCCGGCTTTTGCCACGGCGATAGCTGAGGTATTCATTGCAGGCCTGACTCAGCGACAGCTGCCATGCCGCAGCCCGGCCTTAGCTAACAAATCGCTGCGAGTTTCGGCTATGAATCAGCCACGTGGGGCGATGCCGGAAGTGGTGTCTGAGTGGAAGTTGGTGGTTTATGTCCTTCTGCCACCGCAGGTTGAGGACCCGTTTGGCGGGTCGAAACGCCTCAAACAGGACTGGCGAGTCCCGCACGGCGCCCGCGTGTTGCCGGAGCTCAAGCTGCTCCCGCAGGATTCCCAGCTTCTGTCGCGTACTCAGTCAGGGGGGCAATTGAGCCCGCAACTTCAGCAGGAAATGCAAAACTTGAATGGAGCCTCAGTTTTGCGAGTGGGCATCCCATGGGATCCCATTGAATTTATTGCTAAAGCAGGTAAGATTGGACACCCATACCACAAGTTATCCAAGTGCAACAAGGATCTCAGAGATCTCGTTCATGACTTAGTACACAAACCGGGACCGGTTCGTTCTCAGAGGAAGAATTACATCGAGAAGTGGGCCAGAAGAGCCAAAGAGTTGGAACCAGAGGAAACCAAGCTGAAAGCTGGCATGTCGGATCACCGAAGGAAGATCCTTCAACCCAAACGTATCTTGCTATTTGAAGAGATGCTGCGAGACATTGGGTATGACGATATGGGTGTGGTTCAGGAGCTCATCGACGGAGCCACGCTGACGGGGGACATTCCTATCACTGGGGTGCTGGATACCAAGCTCAAGCCTGCTAGGTTGGATACTGAACAACTTATAGGGATGTCTGATGAAATCAGACAGCAAATCCGGGTGAAGACTGGGTCGTCGGGTGATAAGGAAATCGACCAGCTGTTGTGGGATAAGACGATGGAAGAGGTACAGAGTGGATACCTCTCAGGACCTTACGATTTCGAGTCATTGCCGAAAAGATGTTTGGTCAGCTCCCGTTTCCCGTTGCTACAAGGGGAGAAGCTGCGACCAATTGACAACTACTCATCGAGTTTGATTAACGACACGGTCACAGTTTCTGAAAAGCCTATCACGCACTCTATCGATGAAATTGCATTGCTGATAAATACGCTTTCGAGTGCTGCCCGAAAGAAGAACCTGAACGCATTGTACGGGAAAACGGCGGATCTGAAGGGAGCTTACAGACAATTGGCGGTATCTGATACAAGCTTAGATTTTTCTTACCTCTCGGTCTACGACCCGGCAGAGGAGAAGCCCAAGTTGTTCCAACAACTAGCTGTGCCCTTCGGCTCAACCAAGGCCGTGTATTTTTTCCTCAGAGTGGCGAGAGCTCTTTGGACTATCTTGGTCAAAGGGGCCAGAATCCCGACCACGAATTATTTCGACGATTTTGTTCTGCTCGCTCTTGGAGGAGATAGGAGTTCGTGTTCGCATGCTTTCGATGAAGTTATGAGGCTGCCAGGTTGGAAGCTGTCAGCTGATAAGACGACAGAGTGGGACACCAGCTTCGAGGCCCTTGGCGTCCTTTTCGAGCTTGACCAGACAGGGTCGGGAGTTCTGAAGGTCAGGAACACTGAGAAACGACGAAAGGAACTTACTGCTGCGATCAAAGGTTTCCTGGACAAGGGAACCATGACTCAGAAGGAAGCGCTACAACTGCGGGGTAGGGTGCAGTTTGCTCAAGCCCAGTTTTTCGGTAGGCTGGGAAGAAGGTGCCTTACAGAGGTGACAAAGCATGCCTACACTGGCAGGTCGAAGCTTTCGTCGATGGCCAAGGAACGACTTGAAGAGTTTGGTAAGTTCCTTGACATGGCCCAACCGAGGTTAGTGGGACAAGTTTCATGCAGGACTTTTATGATCCTGACTGATGCGGCGTTTGAAACGGAGTCAGGAACTGGAGGCCTGGGGGGCGTCCTTCTCACCGGGTCAGGCTCGGCACTCTCTTTCTTCAGCGTGCCGATCTCAGAGCAGCAAGCCAAGTCTATGTCGTTGCAAGATGAGCATACTATCATATATGAGCTCGAAATGTTCGGGGTCTTGATCGGTCTCAAGCTCTTGGTCGAAAAGACAGCTGCTTTCGCAGAGTCATACGAGCAGCCAGGTGCTGTTGCTGGAACTGGAGTGATTTGTTATATCGATAATGATGCTGCGAGACATGCATACATCGTCGGCTCTTCGAAGAAAGGGGTTGCTGGGATTCTTATCGATGAAGTCAATTTCCTGGAGTATGTCCACGGCATCTTGCCGTGGTATGCGAGAGTGGCATCACCCGCCAATCTGGCTGATGAACCATCGAGGATGAAACTTGATAGAGTCAAGAGGCTAGGATTCAGAGACGAGTCCGTCGAGGCGACCAAAGCGGTGTTATCAATTGTGAAGAGAGTTTCGAATCTGCCTGCTTAACACTGCGACTCCTTGAAGTGGGGACGAAAAGAGTCTTGTGTCTCACAGGACCGACAGTTCGAAGATATCTGCCGTGTGCGGTACTTGCTACCCCACCGTGTGAAAATAGCGTCGAGCTTTGAACTTCTTGCATGCGACATGTGTGAGTGCAAGCATTCATCCCTGAAGGTTCAAACATGATAGACATCAAAACACAAAGCACGATCTTTGAACGATAAGTTACATTCTTTGAACACTTGCAGAAGATATGGCTTTATCGTTCGAAGAAAAACAACATGACAAAATGACTCAGAGAACTGAGTCCAATTTTGATTTGTTGTTTTAGGGCTTTTCTTTTACACTGCCCATTTTATTGAACTCATTTATACATGCTGTAAACCAGTTGAAGAATACATTCGTCCGATGCAGCTTGACCTCTCGAAGGGGCAGGAAGCCCTGAATCGGGCGAGAGTATTATTTGAAATACCCACCCTCTCCACCCTAATTGATTCGTGGAAAGTGCAGAGATTGCATCTGTGTTGTGCTACCTCAGGAAGCTTTGGACCTCAGTTTGAGGACACTCAGGTATGCTTTATGCATAAGACCTGGTTCGGGTCTTGGCTCTCTGCTTCGCAGTTTGCTCGGTCTTGCTCGTCTTCGACTGGCAGGCCGTTCACTAAGGTTCAGTTTGTGAGCCGTGCACGGTTTGAGAGTGGCTAGTTCTCCTTTCGGAGGGGACGAAAAGAGTCTTGTGTCTCACAGGACCGACAGTTCGAAGATATCTGCCGTGTGCGGTACTTGCTACCCCACCGTGTGAAAATAGCGTCGAGATTTGAACTTCTTGCATGCGACATGTGTGAGTGCAAGCATTCATCCCTGAAGGTTCAAACATGATAGACATCAAAACACAAAGCACGATCTTTGAACGATAATGATGCATCATGCTGGGTACTTGGCCTGCTCCATCCCACAAAAAGCGGCCTCCAAGCAAACAGGTGTAAGATGTTATGCTCCTTGCTTAAGCCCAGGCCTTGTAAAGACGCCAACGCTCGCAGAAACATGTTATCACCTGCCGTAGCCAGTTTAGGAGCAAACCAGAATCCACATGCAAGCACGGTTGCATTAATGTAGCACTGATTGTTAGGATTGGCAAGCCTCAGCGACTGCCAAGCCACGCTGAGAGAGAGGCGCTCTGCTGCCGGTGGGCGATTGAGGCGATGCTGACGAATGCGAATGGCCCCCAATGCCCAAGCCTGGAGGTCCGTCCACTCCATAAAGAATCGGTGGAGAGGCTCCGCTTCCGACCGCAGCCCCACTGCCACATCGAACGCCACCGAGTACCCCTTCATCTCCGGCGTGAGCTCGCGCATCGCCTGGAACCTGGTAAGATTGTTCGGATTGACGAGCAGATCCAAGGCCTGGTTGAGTTGCCCCACAAAGACCTCCTGTGTCACAGGTTTGCGGGTGGTATCCAAATATAGGGCCTCCTGAGTGGGAGACCATTTGCGATATACCCACCTCCCGTCCGTATCGATCCATTCCAGACTCCGAAGGCGCTCCTGTTGTTTGTCGTCCTTCATCAGTTTCTCGGCCCTCGTCTTCATTTCGGTCAAGAGTGCAATCAGCATGCTGCTGCGAATCTGCGAAGAGGCTTGTCCAGCTTGCTGGGTGTTTCCGCTTGGATCTTTTTCCAGCGGGCCCACACCGAGTACATCACTGGAAGCAGATTCTCCGGTCCTTTCTCGTTCTTCATTGTCATGAGGAAGCTGGTGTCCAGTTGCATGCGGTTGCTGTGGTCCACTAGTCCAAGTCCAAGGGTGCATGCTGCAATCAGTTGAACCGCCTCCTGAAGCTCCATTTTGGATGCATCTTTCTTGCCCTCGCCCTTCCCCTTGCCTTTGACCTTGCCTTTGCCCTTGTTGCTGTTCTTGTCCTTGTCTGCCGAAGCTGAGTCGTGGTTGTCTTGACTGTCCTCGGTCCGTCGCCTTTTGCTTGGCTCCTTTTCCCATTCTTGAGCCGCCTTGGCCAGTGCTTCCATCCCCTCCGGCAGAGAGGGAAGCAGATCGGCCCACAGCTCCTGTTCCTGCTTCAGAGGATCCTGCCGGACCCACACGGGAAGTGCAATGACCCGCTAACATGCAAGACATGAGCAGCAGCTGAAACAAGGGGATGCACTGGCCTGCATGTTGCTTGCGATCGACAATCGCCGAGGAGCACACTTGACAGGGGGATGTGATGTACGATTTCCAGTGTGCAGTTTGTTTCTCAATGGCCACTTCATGGGCTTGAAAGTCCGTGCTGTGTTGGTCCCGAAGATGCCTACGGACTGCTGTGGCCGACGAAAACCACTGAAAGCACAAGGCACAGCGTTGCTTGAGTTCAATGCACAAGTCGGAGTGTTCGAGCAGAGCTTCCCAGCCCTTTTGCACAATAGTGTCTCGGACAATGGGTCTGGCAAGATGTGGCAGCACTTCAGACTCAGTCTGGGAGTTAGCATAGGCCTCCATCTCACCTCGTTCGATAGCAGGGCAGCCCTGCCTGGCCACGTGCCGCACAAGACTCGACCATTTAGAGAATTTGGCTCCGCAGTGACGGCAAACCGGAAAACCATTATATCCATGCACAACCTGGTGAACCTCAACCTTGTCCCTTACGATCTTATGTGCCTTGCCTTCGTGTGTTTTCAAGTCGTGCAGGCTGGGAAAGACCTGGAAGCACTGTGAACATACGAATGCAGATGTCGCTGTCGGGTTCGCTTGCAAGGCTAGCTCGGCAGTCTGATGCACAGGGGGTAGCCAGGCGGTGGAGCATCCTCCGCCTCGGCGTCCAGCTGGGTCGTCGGTCCTGTAGTGGTGCTGGATGGTTTGGCCGGTGTTTGAGGCATGGGTCTTGGCTTTCGATTTTTCGCCACATATGGTGCAGGAAGCGAATCACGCACCTGAGTGGCCCACTGCAGAATGGCCGCGGCATCAAAACAGGGCACATCCGGTGGGGTTCCGGCCAGTCGATCGCAGAGGGTGTCACAGCGAGCTCGCACAAGCTCCACGCAGTCAGGCAAGTGATTCTTAAGCATGAAAAGCTGATCTGAGTCACCGTCAACATGCCGAGCCGACCCAATGATAGCTCGAAGGTGCCTCATGGTCTGTACGTGGAGGAGTTTGGCAGCCTCCGCAGTGAGGCCAACAGGCCAACAGCCTCTATTGCGTATAGCTGTGAGGTCTGAATCATGATGCGCCATAGGCGAAGCCGATGCCCTACACTAAGAACCCGACGTGCATGCAAAACTTTTCGCAGCCGTTCCCGATGTCCCGCTGCTACTCCGATTCTGTGCCTGACTGTTGCAAGTTCAAAGTTGTTATAAGAAAGGACAACGCCTAGGTATGTAAAGGGTCGCCACTGGGATTTTGTCGGTTTTGGCGCCTCCGAAGATGAAGTGCTTGACGCCTTCCGCGTCCTTTCTGATCCAGCGTTTCATCCACTTTTTGGCCTGCTGTCCCCGAGCAGGGATGACAAATTTGCTCTTCTCTGCATTGGCCTTCATGCCAAGAGATCGCAGAACCTTGAAGATGCCAAGCACCTCGGCGCGGACCTGATGCAGTTCTTCCACAGTTTTGAAAACCCACTTAAAATGCATATCATCAGCGAAGAATGTGCCTTTTTGTGCCGTCCATTGTACCCCCAACTCCTGATCAAGGTGTTGCTGGATGACTCGGGTGAACAACCCCCACAGAGTGGGTGACAGCACGCATCCTTGGCGCACTCCGCACTGGATGTCCACATGGGCCTCGCTCGCCCTTCCACGGCTTTTGATGCGGTATTTGCCAAGCTGGTGCCATTCTAACAAGATCTGTCTGTCCTCCGGCTGCAGGTCTGTGCTTTGCAAGATTTCGTTCAACACCTGTCGCGGGAGTAAGTCGAATGCTTTCGACAGATCGATGCTTAGTTGAGCCCCCCCCACACAGGGGGTGCGCACAGCACCCTGATACTTATCCCATATGGTAAGGGCCTGTTTTCGAACAAGGGCACGGACCGTGGCACAATGCTCCGCAACCCGGGAGATTGCTTCAAGTGTGCTTCGGTGTGCTATGTAGGCATACTGAGGCATTCCCATCATGGCCTGATGAAATGAGGGAGTAAGCCTCCATCGGAAGACGGTCGTCACCGCCTTGGCGGCGGCTGATTGAAGGGCTATAGGACGCAAGTCCTCAGGTCTTCTGGTGATTTTCTGTGGTTTGGGCAGAAAATGTAGATCCGATTGCGTCCAGACCTCACGGAGACGAAGCCGACCGGGCTGCCATAAGGACTGGGTGTACTCTTGCAAGTACAGAGATAACGGAGAGGCTAGAGCTTTCCATGCAGCAGCAGGAGCCATGTTTTTGGCAACAGCCTTCCGTTGCTTCAAGCCCTTAAGAGCATCAAACAATTCCTGCGAAGTAAGATGCACGGCCTGTCGAAGATGCTGAGGCTGGTGCTCCAAGCATGAGCTCGAGTAGATACCCCGCCAATACTTCGCTAGTTCTTGATCTTCCTGCTCAGGAGTTAGGTGCTGTCCATCGGCGGCACGGATCTGAACCCGAGTGTGATCTCGTTTCGGGGCTAGCCGATGAATGATCTGAAAGAACTTAAGAGGATTGTTGGTCTGGCCGGCCTGTTCAGCTTCAGCAAGCTGAGCTTGCCAGTGTGCTCGCCGTCGCTGTCGGCTGTTCTTCTTTAACTCCTTGACCCGCTTTTGCAACTGTTGCTGCATTCGCCAGACTCGAAAAATCTGAGAGAAATGTGGCCAATATTTGGCGGCTTGTGCCCTGAGTCGTCGGCGCAGTTGCCAGGTGAGGCTGAGATCTGTTGTTACCTCCGGATTTTGCCATTGCAACGCAATGGTTCTGCAACGCCTAGCTGGAAAAACTTCTGCACAGACCTGTCGTAGGATGGCCTCGGCCCGGGAGGGAGGAAGGTCCTTCGTGAACAGGTGCTGGTGTGCTGCAAAGCCGGCTCGCAGTTTCTCATGCTCTGGTCCCGGCTGG